TAGAGTGCTCGAAATGCGTGCACACGGGGCACGCAGAAACTGAAGGGCAATTGCAGATGCGGATGCAATTGACGATGGGGAAATTGTGGATATGGGCTGAAAGGGGGGTTTTATACCGAAGGCATGAAGTGGGAGCGCGCGGCTCGAGCCCAGGGCGTTCGACTGTGAGGGAATGCCAGACGGCATTAAAAAAGTGAACGGTGCCCTCGAACCGGGAGTGGGCGGGTGTGAGGGCGGGAGCGGGCGAACGGCGCAGACACCGTACGGCCCAATGGCAGAATGCGATGCAAATGACATGAAGGCATGGATTTGATAAAGTGGGTGGGGTGAGGTACCAATGAGTGAGTGGAGGCGGTGCGGATCCACACTCCAACACTAGGATGCCGACGAGATAAAAAATGAAGTGCCTCGAAATGCATCTTGCTATCACTGGTTTGTCATTCGTGAAACTGGTGATTGGTCCAATGCGCCCAGACCATCGCGACTGCAAATCGACCACTGAAACACTGCTGGAGGCCCAGCAATCCCATTCTAATGAGGGATTTCAGCACTAAGGAGGTGAGTGTGGTTGGAAATATCAGTTCCTAAATGAGGTCGATATATTGATCAACTTCAAAAAGACAAATGAAATATGTCCCAACTGATAAACTGCGGGCGAGGAGTTTAGGCACCTTTCGCTTCACCGGCGGGCGGCAACCTCACCTTAGCCGTCCGCCGGACCTCCACCTATTTAGCTTATTTTCTACACATACCTTCCAATCAGCAAACCTTCTCTTCCTCGACTTGGACTGGCACCATGGAACCATGCACAGGCACCTGCTATGCCCAGGCAGCTTTCTACTTCCTTCTCGGCCACGCCCACTGTTCCCGCCATCGCCATGTCCGTTGGTGGAACCCTCCAGCTTCACACACACTGCCTCCATTGGGCGCTGCATCCATACACCAAAGCATCTGCTCTCGGGTTCTCTCACTCTCTCGGCAGTTTTGGGTTAGCGCATTCACACACACACAGTTTACAGAGAGAGAGCCCACTCAACTTTCTTTTTCTTTTTTTTTTATTATTTTACTCCATCTTTTGAAAAGCACACGAAACACAAATTGATTTGCACATGTATCTCTTTTCTCTCTCTCTCCCTTTATACCCTCTCTTTTCCTTTCTTTTTCTTTTAATATTTACCTCCACTACCTTTTGTCTTTCCAATACAGCCACCACCTTACCCCAAACCTCTTTTTTTTATTCGTTTTATTCTTATTATCATCCTCCTCATCATGTACCCCACTTTCTCTCTCTCATTTTTTCACTTTCCAATCCCCCGAGGCACATGCTTTCGCCCTTAATAAGAAAAAGCTTCGGCAGTGGTTCTTCCACCCGGGGGCACTCCGACGATCAAGTCAGTATATCTCTCAAAGATAATCAAGTGCTAAACTGAATACTCAAGACACAAAAATACATACCTTAGACCCACGGGGGTGCCTCTCTTTTATAATATACTCAATCCAAGTCCCACTAGAAGTATGACTTCTATGAACTCCAATTTACTGCTTACTCTGGACTCTATAAGAGATAAAGATAAAACTCCCTAAGAGCTTTATCCTTATCTTGGTTAAGTCCCCTCTTTGCCTTAGGACTCTTGTCTCTTATCTCGGATTCCGATATCTTCGGAGATAACCTCGGCTTCTCCGAGATCATCTCGGCTTAACTACCAGGACATGTGGCACCTCGGCTGACACGTCGGCGTCACCATGCCATGTGTTGGTATTCAGAAAATACGTCCCCACACAAACTATAAATTTAAAGGTAACACTGAAATTCAACACAATCTGATTGAAAACCCATGAAATTTACAGTCATATATATATACACAAAATGATGAGTAGGGTTTTGGTAGAGGCAAAGAGACATATTATTTACCTGGGTGGTTGGAAGATCTAATTGTAGTTCGAACTGTGTAACCATGTTCAAGTAGCTTCTTGATCAACCATGATGCTACATACCCTGTTCCACCTGTTACACAAACACTACCCTTATCATCATACCTTTCCATCTCTTGTTAGGATCATAGACACCCATAATATATATCACACACACACACAGAACACAAGTTTTACGTGGTTCGGCCCAATGCTCACGTCCACGGAGCAAAATACAAAAACAGAGAAAGTGATAAAACTCTCACTCAACTCACAGATTTCTCACTCAATTTTCTGATACAATTCATCATCTCCCTACTGTCCCTATTTATACACAAAGATGAGAGAGAGAGACCAACCCACCAAAAATTTTTACCTTCTTAATGGTGAGTGTCAACAGTGACATCAATGTGAAGAGAATGAAGAGATGCCCAACTCAGACCTCCTTCACTTGAGGTAGAAGTCTTCCTACGCCATCTTCACATGCATACATATAGGTTGGATCTAACATCTCTCTCTGTGTGGCTCTGATTGTATTGAAATATATAGGAGTTCAAGAAAATGAGTAAAAGCCCAAAGTGATCTGGAATATTTATGTGCGTGTTTTTTTTTGTTTTTTTTTGTTTATTTCTCTTACATGGATGATCGGACCACTTTGGAAGTGGTGAGGGTTTAAAAAATAAGGGTCTCAACAGGGTTTAAATGCTTTGGTTGACAAAGGTGTGTATTTGGAAGTGGGTTAATTTTTTGATTTTTTAATTATTTTAATTTGTGTTAAAAAGTTTAATTTGAGAAGAATTTTTTGATTTTTTAATTTTTTAATTTTTTTTGTGAGAGAAAACTATAATAATTATTGATTGAATGTGATATTTTATTTTTTATAACTAAAATAACTTATTTTATTTTTTTAACTAAAATAACCAAAAAAATCTTCTTTAACTCTTACCAAACGGTGCCACATATAACCAAATGAATATGAGTGGATCACATTCATTGAATGATAAATTATGAGAAACACTATCCACCTCCTAATAAAAAAATGATATAATCTCATATTTTTTAAATTATAATTAAAAAAATATCATAATCAAATATAATTTAAAATATAATTAAAAAATTTATGAATCATAATAAAAAAAATTAATCACAATTAAAAAAAATGACATAATTAAAAGTATATAGTACATCATTTTCAAGAATGTATATGTTAAAATCTTTCTAAATATATAATTTTTTTTTGTTGTATATTTATGGTTTAGGTTTTGTCTATTTATTAACTTATTAAGTATTGGATTAGTTTTATTTTATTTTATTTGGATATACTATTGGATTTGTAAATGGGTGAATAAAATTTGCGCTTTGTTTGGCAAGTTAGCTATTTTAATTATTATTTGGTATTTTGGCTATTTTAACTGGTTAAAAAAGTTATGTTTAGAAAATTAATTGATTTTTTTTTTGTAATTGATTTGATGATTGTGAAAAAAATAATAATTATGAATTAATGATAATATTTTATCTTATTAATTATTTTAACATATTTTATTTTTTAATGATCTATTTTAAATTAACCCTCTTCTCAAACAAGGCATACAATTAACCAATTCAAACTCAATCCCCACTATCGTGTCAGTATAATATTTTTTTTATCTACTTTAGCATTATTATTCAAAATATTAATAAAGTACAAGTAATAAAATCCCATGTAAAAACTACACAAAAAAAAAAAGAAAAAAAAATTATACTCCACTAATTTATATCAGAGTGATTTTTTTTGGAGTAATTTTTTATAGAATGATTTTGGATTGGTTTTTTGTATGATTAATTTTTTTTAAAAAATAATTATCAATACTATTATATTTTTAATTTAGTATTATTATACCCTCAACTTTTATAAAATTAAATTGGACAAATTACACTAATGGTCCCTATAGTTTAGGACTTATGTCACTTTAGTGCCTGACTTTTTAATTGTGACACATTTGACCTTGAATTTTGAATATTATTCCAAATAAGGACAATTAACATATCATTGCTTAATTTCAAGGGCAAAATTATCAATTTGATAAAATATAAACTAATTTGACAAAAATAGATGTCAAAAAAATATTTTAAAATTTTTAAAAATTATTCCTACCCACCAAAAATAAAATTATGTAAAATTGATAAAAATTACATGATTAATTTTTTAAAATTAATTTTACATGATTATCATCCAAATACATAATAAAAATTAATTTGGTAAAAAAAAGAAATAAATGTCTAAAGATTTATCAAGTTTATAAAATTTTATCTTTAGTAAGTAGAAATAATTTTTAAAAATTCAAAAATAATTTTTTAACATTTTTTTTTGTCAAATTAATTTATATTTTATCAAATTGACAATTTTGCCCTTAAAAAATTTAATAATATCTTCAATTGTTCTTATTTAAAATAAGATTTAAAATTCAAAATTAAATATAACACAATTAAAAAGTCAAAGATTAAAATGACACAACCACCCAACACTATTATTCACCCAATTAAATTTTAACAATCGAAAAGATCAGTTTAAGTTCCCTCCACAAAACAATCAGTCCAAAAATGTTGATTCGATTTTTTTTTATAAGATTCTGTGCTCATTGTCTTGATCAAAGTCAATACTTAGGACAGGCAAATAGATGAGTTGTCTTTTGCCTTTCAACAATGCTACAGTCACAGCGAAAAACTACAAATTGCACTACACAAGATGCATTACAGAGGATCTTCACCCCTAGCAACAATGTTACCGAACTTCAAAAAATACAATTTTCACAAACCCATTTATCTGTAATTGATTTAAGAAGGAAAAACAAAAACAACAGAAAAATAAAAACATATGATTGATCCACATTATTTTGAGTGATAAACATTGATGTATAAAGAAAATTGTATTATTGATAGATGTATTGATTTTGTTATTGATGATAATACAAGAGAATGAACCCTCTCTCTTTATAGAGAGGAGAGGGAGACAATTGGAATACTTACGCACCGAAAGCATAGTAGGTGAGCTCTTTACAGCTTACAAATGCCAGCCTACAAATGCACTATAGTGTATAATATATTATATTGTTAACATTGAGGATCACAAGTCTCCAATTTTAGAGATCTCAAACATTTTTACATTTCTACACACGGCCCGCTATAGACCCTAGGACCCCACACTCCACACATTTGTAAGAGAGAGGGAGGAGAGAGAGGGAAAAAAAATACATAATAAATGATCACCAATCAATTAAGGATTGTGGGATCACAAAATTTGGGGTACCACGTATTTTCCTTCTACGCACATTGCTTCCATTTCTACACCTATTGACAGAGAGGGGGTGTGGCTCCACACATATTAATGTGAGACCCACACTTCACCTATATGGGTTTAAATTAAGGTAGCGTTTGGTGGAGTTTTAAAATTATGATTTGATAATAGAATTATATTTCGAGTTTGTGAGTTTTGAAATTATGATTTAAATGTGAAAAATTTGTTAAGTTATAAGTTTTGAAAAAAGTTTTGAATTGAGTTTGAAATGACTAATGTGACATATGATATATGATTCAAAAATTTACAACTCATAATCAAACACAGCCTAAAGTTCTATTCAAAACTCATAAAAAAATTAGAATTTTTTTTATTTAAAATATAAAAATAATAGGTGCAAAAATAAAAAAAATCGAACATTGTTCCGATCAACCGATTGGACGTCCGAGGGATGACCGGGTAGGCGTGTTTGCAAAAGTGGGCGTTGAATCAGTTTTTGAAAACTGTAACCAAACACCTACCTCAAACCAAGCGGTGGAATTAACTCTAGAAAGCTCTACCAAACAGAGCCTAAATTTCCCAAAGCAGTTATAAAGATTCACTTTATTTAACCCAAAGGTGGTTGGCAACTTGGCAAAGGCTTGGGGATTAAGCCCCCAAGTCCCAAGTTCAAAATCTCTTTGGGCCAATCTTCTGGGCATAGTACAATCAGTTAGGAGGTTAGCCTCAAACAGTTTCAAATTTCATAGAGATATTATTTGTAGATAATTCTATTTGCACACAGTATAAACTTTCAATACACACTACAAATAGTATTAAGATATAAATATTTAAGCAAGAGTCAAATGTTCGAATATAAATTTATGAACATATAGTAGTTGTTTGGATATAAATAATTGAACGAAATATATATATATATATAAGGATAAATTATACAAATGGTCCATATAGTTTACACGATGTATCAATTTGGTCCCTATTAATTTAATTTGCTCGATTTTGTCCTTTAATTTAACGGATTGTATCATATTAGTCCAATAAATAACGACCGTTAGATTTAGTGGACAAAAACTCAAACGATGTGTCAATTTAGTCCTTGTAGTTTAAACGATGTGTCAATTTGGTCCCTGTCAAAATCGAGCAAATTAAAACAATATGGATCAAATTGATACATCGTGTAAACTATAAGGACCAAATTGACATATTGTTTGAGCACATGACGACTTTCCGTCTATCAAACTTAACAAACATTATTTATTGGACCACTATGATACAATCTATTAAATTAAGGGGTAAAATCGAACAAATTGAAACAACATGGACCAAATTGACGCATCGTGTAAACTACAGGGACCATTTACATAATTTACCCTATATTTAAACAATTTATTTTCATTCATAATCTTAAATTCAAACATTTGACAATTATTTGAAAGTTTATTTTCAAACACCATTTGTGGTATATATTGATAGTTTGCATGGTGTGTAAATATATTTTCTCATAATGTTTTCTTGTTTTCTAAAAAAGACAAATTTTCCTTGTTTTCGCCAACAGTTGGATGAAAATACTTATTAGTTTTGAAAAATAGTATGAAGTTCAATTTTGAACAATTTAAAACATATTCAATTAATTTAATTTTTTTTTATGAATAATAAACTTCTTTGTATATGGCTTGTATTTTAGCCATTTTTACCGAAATTGGTCTCTCTTGTTTTTTTTTGGTTATGTAGGGTATCTTGGGCTAGCTTATGCGCATTAGACTAAGTCACTACAACAAAAACACATTTTAGTGACACCATACTAGTGGCATGTTCTTAAAAAATGTCACAAAAAGAATATTTGGTGGTATTTTTTAGAAAAATGTCATAGAGTTACAAACATACAAAGCTCTAGTGGCATTTCAATTAAAAAAAGTGTCACTTCACTACAACAAAATGCCACTACAACAAATTTACACTTTAGTGACACTACACTAGTGGCACGTTTTTAGAAAATGCCACAAA